CGTTAGTCATTTTACAGATTTATGTATATCCGCAATTATTATCTACACGTTAATTAACTAATTAAGTGAGTGCTATTTTTGATGATAAACCTCTCGGACGAACATCATCAACAGAGCACGAGCGGAACGCACGAAAAGTAAAAGTTTTGCTTTCGTTTTATTATAATATTATATTCCTGTATAGTTAAACAAAAGTGATTTTCCTGGTTTAAAAAAAGAAAAAAAAAGAAATTAATATACATTAAACGCACGCATGTATATATTAATGTGAAAATAAATGTACAACACAAACGTATAATATAATGTTGCAAAAGAATTATGACATACACTTTAGATAAAAGAAAAATATTTATGACCTCGTAAAAATACAGTTGTTGAAGTTATTGTTTACAGTACTTGAAAAAAAATCACGTCATAATGCTTTTTTTCATTCAGATTCTTTCGTGAGCAGACATTTTATATACTTTTATACATCAGTCAAGATTGAATATTATTTCTGAGATTGTAAAATAATTTATAAATATCGAATGAATGAATCTTGGTAAAATCATAGTACTTGTTTGTTTAAAAAAAAAAATTTATTCCCCAATTTGCAAAATTATTATTTATAGACAAGATTTGCGTTATTCTTGAAATGTAACAAGAAAATTACAAAAGTAGTTGTTGAATATTCATTGCGTGACATTCTAGTGCTGTATTATATAGTCATTTCGCTTGAATATAGGCGAATAGAAGCTGTTCGTGATTTTGAAATATGGATATCGGTTTTATAAAATATAATTTGATTTTTATTATTCTTTTTTGAGATATTTGAGACAAGAGATATGTTGTCAGAAAAATTTATGCAATTATAAATAAATATATATAATATATGTATATATTGTGTTCCGTTACGTTTAATTTGTATCAACAACGCAGACTTATGCAAGCAGAAATGAGAAAGCACACAAAACAGGTGTGTCGAGTTCAAACTATGCCATTAACGGGTGTCTCTTATCGTTTAGTGGTACACGTCCTTTCACATAGTCATTGGATGACATCGATAAATGCCATTAAAATCTTTATAACAAATTTTTTATTTTCCATTGTGAATAAATTTTTCTCCTGATTTTTCTCCTTATTTTCGATTCAATTTAAAACTTTCTTATTTTGATTCAATTATTTTCAAAATTTCTTTTCGAAATTCAATATCTACTATGTATTTTTATAAAAAAAAATTTCACAAAACAATTCAATTATTTAAAAAAAATTTTTATAAAATTCTTTGCAAACATTAAATTATTTTCATAAATAATAATAAAATTTTCACAGGATTTCAATTATTTCAAACACAATTTTAAAAATTTTCATAAATCTCTTGATATGCAGTCAATTCTAAAAAATATTCAATTATTCAATCAATTATTTATTTTTATATTTAAATAATTGAATTCTCGTAAAATATATAATATTATCCTAAAAAGCAGAATTCTTCCAGAAATACAATTAATTTTTAGAAATTTAAATCAATTTGTTTGCAAAATTCAATTATTTTAATAAATAAAAATATTCAATAGTAGAATTCAATTATTTTCAAAAGTAATAAAATTCTTACCAGGAATTCAATTATTTTAATTAAAACACAATTTTCATAAAATTTTTCGAAAAAATCAATTATTCAAAAAAAATTCAATAACAAAATTCTTCGCGGGAATTCAATTATTTTTATAAATATGATAAAAGTTCTTCTCAGGAATTATTCAATCAATTATTTATTTTTTGTATTCAAAATAATTAAATTCTTGTAAAATTCAATTATCCTGATAAAAAAACAGAATTCTTTCATAAATTCAATTATTTTTAGGAATTTATATAAAAATTTTTTTGCAAAAATTCAATTATTTTCGTAAATATGAAAATTCTTCTCAGATATTCAATTATTTTTATAAATAAAAAAATTCATCGAAAAAATTCAATTATTATTAGGGAATTTAAATAAAATTTTTAGCAAAATTCAATTATTTTCATAAATAACAAAATTCATCACAAGAATTCAATTATTTTCAAAACTAATAAAATTCTTAGCATTAATTCAATTATTTAAATTTGTTTTTAAATTCCAGTCAAAAATTCAATATTATATATTTATAAATAACAAAATTATTCCTTGACAAAATTAAATTATTTTCATAAATATTAAAAATTTCACAGGAATTCAATTATTTTAATTATAAAACACAATTTTCATAAAATTTTTCGAAAAAATCAATTATTCAAAAAAAATTCAATAACAAAATTCTTCACGGGAATTCAATTATTTTTATAAATATGATAAAGTTCTTCTCAGGAATTCAATTATTTTAGGAAAAATTTTAATAAAGTACTTTGCAAAAAATCAATTATTTTCATAACATAATTATTATGGGATTTTAATTATTTTAAATGAAGCCCTCGAAAAAAATGAAATTATTCTTAAAAAATAAACAACTTTATTAAAACTCTCCCTAACAAATTAAATAATTTTAAAAAATTTTCATAAATCACAGGAATTCAATTATTTTTAAATTGAATATATCTTCTCAAAAATTCAATTATTTCCATAAATATTAAAATTCTCCTCAGATATTCAATTATTTTTATAAATAATAAAACTCTTTTTTAAAAATCAATTATTATTAGAAATTTAAATAAAATTTTTTGAAAATTCAATTATTTTCATAAATAAAACTATTAATTAGAAGAATTCAATTATTTTCAAAACCAATAAAATTCTTAGCAGAAATTCAATTATTTAAAGTTCTTTTTCATAAATTACTTTTAAGAATTCAATTATCTTTATAAGTAGCAAAATTCAATTATTTTTCAACATTTTAGTGAAATTCTTATCAAAATTTAATAAAATTCTTCGTAGAAAATTAATGCAATAATTTATCGAAATTTAATTATTTTCAATATTTACTATTTCAGTAAAATTTCCCAAAGGAATTCAATTGTTTAAAAAAAAAATTATTTAGTAAAATTCGTCGCCAAAATTTAATCATTATTTATTTATTTTCATGAGTTATAAAATTCTTTGGAAAAATTCAATTATTTTCAATAGAATTTGAATAAAATTTAAATAAATTTTATTCAGTTTAAATAAAAATTTGTTCTTGGTGTAATATACTTGCTTATTTAACAAAAAAAAAACATTGTTATTTAGAAAGTTAAAATTTATTGACAACAAGAATAATAAACAACTGTACATTTGACTTCCTTTTATTGAAATTGTTTATAATAAAATAATATTGTGGGAACTGGCCGAAAAGGCGTTCGCATCGATCAATCAAAGGAATTCAGAGCTCTTCCACAAGTGAAAGTTTGCAGATTTCAACATATTATATTCATGCGATAATTATACATTTTTCGCTTTTAGTGACATAATTATTATAATTATATAATTGTCGATGAACAAGAAGTTTATAGTTTATAAACTACAAGGCCATTAAATTCATTAAATTTTCTCTCACTCTCAAAATTAAAAATAAACCATTTTCATTCTAGAATTTTCAACTAAAATATTCTTCTCTAAATCAAATATTTTAAATTCCCTTTTTTAATTACAATATAATTAATAAATTATAATTTTTTAAAATTTCAGTTTTAAACCTTTTGAAATTTAATTATTAAAAAAAATTTTTTACCTTATTTTTACAGTTATTTTCAATTATTTTCCAGAGTTTTCAACTAAAATTCTTCTCTAAATGAAATATTTTTTATTCTCTTTTTCAATTATAAAATTTAATTAAATTAGTTTCTAATTAATTAATTTCGTTTGGGCTTTAAGGTTTTGAATATTTACATATTTTACAAAGTTGACAAAGAACTAGAATTTTTATAAATTTAATATTTTTTCACTACTTTGGTTAAAATTAACGAATTAAATTAATTAAAATTAAATAGAAATAATAAAATTCAAATTAAATAGAATAATTAAAATTTAACCAAATTTTTGTTCTAATGAACAAATGAATAGTTTTTATTGTAGAATTTGTTTATTGTAGGAAAAATAAAATTTATTTGAACCAAATAAATAATTTTTTTTTTTTAGTGAACAAATAAAGACTTATTAGCCTCTAGGGTAAAGATATTTTTTTTTTACTTTTTGTAGCCTTAGTAACGGAATATAAATCAATAATTGTAAAAAGTATTATAACAACTGGTTAAAATATTCTAAATATTTGGAAAGAAGCCAAAATAGTAATTCTCATCACTTCTTGCCGTGCGTTGCTTTCATTAACGTATAAGCAACTGAACAGGTGTTTCAAAGCAAACAACGAGAATCGAGAAATGATGAGTTTCGCTTCGAGGATCTCACAATCAGTTAAAAAGTTAAAAATCATTATTTCAAGAATTACTTTTTTTAAAGTTTCAATATACTTTTCTTCGGATATTCATCTCTACTCTGTTAAATTCTGTTTAGAAATATCTTTTACTACAGGATGTACAAAAAAACTTTTATGTAATTCTCCTTGACCATTATTATTACTTATTAGTATTGTCATTTGTTCTTCCTGACCAAGATTTTTACCGTAAACATTTCTCAATTTAATTTAATGTTCACAGTTGTAAATTTCTACCTATTGATATATATTTACTGCCATTATGCAGAATACATATTTTTCTCATTAGTTTCATGGTACTTTTTATTTTCCTCTTTATTAAAAACTAAAAAGTTTTCTAATTTAAAAATTGGACATAAAAACGAATTGGAACATTCTTTAAAAACGAACATTCCTCAAGTATATAAAATTAAATTCTTTCAAAGTTAAGAGAGGGGAAATATAAAAAGCAATCAAATAGAAGGTCGATATTGACAATAAAGAAAAAAAAAAAAAAAAAAACTTGATTAATTGTATCTTTACAAAAAAAATCCTTTTTCTGATAAACTGAACTGACTTCAAGACATTGCTTTTGAATGAAAATTTAATTTCAATTTTAAAAAATTAATTTCTAAGCAAAATATTTTTTTTTTCACTTACCAAAAGATTAGTCTCATCAAATTGTGCGATTACATTGACAAAGGATTTTTGATCAGCAATCAACCAAATGCCAACAGCTAAGGATGCACCTCCAGCGATCTGTAACATGAGAATTATTTTGATGCTTTCGTTTCGCTTGGCAAACTTCGAGGATGATGTTACACCTTGATAGTGTAATCAGAATGTAACGTAAGTATGGAAATATAATTTCTCAAAGGATATATACATATAAATTAAAAAAAAAGAAAAAAAAAGAATCTTTCCGTCCTTTCTGAAATGGTAGAAAATCATGAATAATTTATAATATAAATAATATATTTCTTATTTTCGCAAGATTAGTATGTTATACAACTTATAATTATGTAAGTAGAATATAAATTTTATTATTTAATTATTTAATAAAATTTATCAGGGTTGCCAGTAAAAATTAAAAATTGCTATTCCTTGATTTACAGAGAGATATTTGATTTTTTCCCTGATTGTTTATTCGCAAAAGAAACGAAAGGGAATTCAATTATAAAGAAGATAATTTTTAGATAAGCAAAAATTTAAATTTAAAATGTTAAAATTAAATAAAAATTCAATTATTCACAAAAATTTCAATATAATTCCGAAAAATTCAATTATTCATACATAAATTTCAATAAAATTCCAAAAAATTCAATTATTTACAAAAAATTTCAATTATTTTCAAATATTTCATTAAAACTAAAAAAAAATTCAATTATAATTAATAGAATTTTATAAAAACTTTAGATTTTTTTAAACAAATTTAATTATTTCACGAAATAGATTTGAAATACGTATTTTAAAAACCTTATTCTTGGGAGTTTTAAATAAATTTTTTCGATTTTTCAATTCATAATGAAAATTTTTCAAAATTTAACTTATTAATAAAATTTTTTATTAAAAATTTTTTAAAATTAAAAATCATTTTAGATGCATTTTGGACTTTTTAATATTTTTAATTTTTTACTCCAATAAACATATGAATACATTTGATTCCGACCCTTTGTAATTAGTAATTAGTAATTAGTAATTAGTAATAAGTAATTAGTAATTACCAAAAGGTCAGTCTCGTCAATTTGTGCAATTAGATTGGTAAAAGAATTTTTCATTTAAAATCGTAACATGAGACTGATTTTGTTGCTTTATATTATGTTTCGCTTCGCAAACTTCAATTATTTGCCAATTATTAAATTAAAATTCTTTGAAAATTCGATTTTCCTTTAAATCTCTAATGGAATTCTTTATCAAATTTAATTTATTTCAATTCGATTTTACAATCAATTAATTCGATAATTCATTAATAAAATATTTAATTATTATTTTTCCATAGGAATTAAGATTTTCAAAACATTCAAAATCAAATCTTTTTGAAATTCAACAATTTATGAGAAAGTTATAATTATTTTCATCATTTCAATTCAATTATTATTTTCTTGAATTTTTAACTAAAATTTTTCTTTAAATCAATTATTTACAATAATTTTTGAAAAAATTCTGAGAATTTTCAAATGTATTTGTTTACAATATTAAATTTTACGAAATTTCATCTATTATTCGGAAATTCTTCAATTAAATATATATATTTTAAAATAAAAACTTCTAATAATTTCCATTAAATTTTTTGAAAAAAAATAATTCTACAGAATTGTTAGTTAAAAATATGAAAAATTCATATTATCAAAGATTTCAATTTGAAACTTTTTCAAAATTCAATTATTTCTAAAAATTCACGCTATAATACTTTTAATATTCAATTATTATGTAAAATTTTAACTGAAATTCACTTAAATCAATTTGTATTAGAAAATTCTACGAGAATTCAATTATTTAAATAAAAAAAATAAATAATTTATTAAATAATTGAATGTTTTTTAATATTGAATTCTCATAAAGAATTTTATCAACAAACTTTTAAATAATTAAATTTTTTCGACGAATTTTAATATAAAATTTTATTAAATAATTGAATTCTTTTGGAAAATTTTATTAAAATAGATATTAAATATCATTGAATTTAGGAAAATTTTTCCAAATATGTAATTGAAATTTCGCTAAAAATTTTATTAAAATTTTTGAAAATAATTAAATTTCGAAGAAGAATTTTATTATTTATAAAGAGAATTGAAATTTTGACGATAATTTCTTTAAATTTTTTAATATGGTAATTGAATTTCTGCGAAGAATTTTATTATTTTTGAAAATAATTGAATTTTGCAAGGAATTTTTTTAAAATGACTCAAAATAATTGAATTTTCGGGAATAATTTTGATATTTATGAAAATAATTGAATTCTTTCGAAAAATTATTTATGTAAATAATTGAATTCTTTGAAAGAATTTTATTAAAATCTAAAAGAATAATTGAATTATTTTAAAAAATTTAATTAAAATTGTATTTAAAATAATTTATTTCTTTCGAACAATTTTATTAAGATATTTAAAAATAGTTGAATTTCTGTAAAAAAAATTCTAATGTTTTAGTAAATAATTGAATTCTTCCAAAGAGTTTTAAAAAACCATTTTTTTAAATAATTGATTTTTTCGAGGAATTGAAATTTAATTTATAAAAATAATTTCATTTTTTGAGCAATTAATTGTATTAAATTGCGCAATTCTGCGGTGAGTTTGATTATTTATGAAAATAATAGAATTATTGCGAAGAAATTTATAAAAAAAAAATTGTAAATAATAGAATTCTTGTGAAATTATTTTATTATTTTTGAAAATAATTAAACGTTTACGTAGAATTTTAAGAAAATTTTTTTTAAATAATTGAATTGTTTTGGAAAATTTTATTAAACATATATGTTATATATATATTAATATATTAATATATATATTGAATATCATTGAATTGAGGAAAATTTTTGCAAATAATTGAAATTTTGCCAAGAATTTTATTAAAATTTTTGAAAATAATTAAATTTCAAAGAAGAATTTTATTTTGTATAAATAGAATTGAAATTTTGACGAGAATTTCTTTAAATTTTTTAATATAATTGAATTTCTGCGAAGAATTTTACTATTTTTGAGAATAATTGAATTTTTGCAATTATTTGAAACTTTAAGTTTAAAATTTAAAAAGAAATTCTTTTCGGAAATGGGAAAAATTGAAGGTTTTGTATAAGAATTTTTGTTTTTTTTTAGAAAAAACTATTAATATAATAATATTTGAATTATTTGAATGTTATAATTAATTATTTTTCTAAAGAAATTTATAGCTGTTGAAGTTAAAAATTTTTTTCAATGATTGTATTAAAAAAATTGTTGATTGTATCAAAAATATTAATTTATAAGTATATAATAATTATATAAATACAATAATTTATAAGTATAAGGTCTTATATATAAAAGAAAAATACTTACGAAGAAGATGAAATTGAACAAGCACAGAAAGTACTTGGCACACTGCGACGTACAGCTCATTTTGGATTCGATTTTCTAATGACTTGCTGAAATCAATAAAAGAAAACAATTATTACTATCCCGTGTAGAAATCACCATGCTATGCCTAAAATGATTATTGGCCCTAGCTTGGACCTAACTTGGCAACCCCTTTTTATGTATCCTAGGTTGGTCCTAACTTGGTACTAGCTAGGAGATCCAGTTATGACTTAGAAAAATTTTTAGGAAAATAAAGTGTCAAAATTGATACATGAAAAACATGTAAAAATTGATAAATATTCTCAATTAATATTTATAAAATTAATTGATAATCATATTTGTTTAAACAATTTATTGTTTGACATAAATCAGAAAATTATACAAATACTATAAAATAAAGTTAATTTATTAATTTATTAATTCAGCAATTGTTTAAACAAATAATTGTTATTTACTAACCTTTTACACAATCAACCTAGAAACTAGCAGTTTTTTCTAATTTTGCAATAAGTAAATACTCAGATTAGTTAATTGCAAAATTTTAAAAGACTACAAGTGTCTAGACGCTTTATTGTCTTAAGAATTAATAAATAACAACAATTTTTTGTTTAAACAAATGCTGAATTGTTAAAATTATAAATTATCTTCATATTTCACTACTCAAGTGTAATAATCGCGAAGTTAGATAAAAACTGCAAATTTTTAAGTAATTTGTTACAAAAGTTAATATAACAGCAAAATTTATTTATTTATTTAAACAGATACAGACTGCAATATAATTATCATTAGTAAAATATATTTCTAATTTCGTTCGCTGATTTTAAGTTTCGTTTAAGTTGGTGCTAAACACTAAGAGATATTGCAATTCGAATGTGGGCTGACCCACCCAGGTCCAACCCAGGACCTACCTGGGCTTCCTAGTTTCATTAGCAAAAATTTCTAAGTCCAAGTCTAAAAAAATTTTTGCAACAAAAAATTAATGCTTAAAATGATTTAGAATAATGAAAAACGTGTTTTTAACATAAATTTTTTTGACATTTTTTTAAAAAGTGGATCACCCACTTAATTAATTAGGAAAAATTTCCAAGTCCAAAAGACGAATATTTTTTTTAGACCAAGAAATTAATGTTAAAAATGATTGAGAACAATGAAAAACCTGTTTTTAACGAAAATGTATAGATATTTTTTTTCTTGATATAATATAAAAATATTAATTTTTGAATTTTTATATTTGGATATTATTTTATTATTATTGTCGTTGTTAAACTATTTTTTTTATTTATTATCGTGTATTAGTGTCAATAATTACTATATTGAATCATCAAAAGCAAGTCCACAAGTCACTGACAATAAAAATTTTGATCTCAACTAGTTTCATTAGCATAGTGGTTAGGGCGTTAGTCTCGTAGTCCGTAGGTCGTAAGTTCGATTCCCGCGTGCGTTAGATTTTATTTACTTCTTAGGTTTGCGTTTATTCCGATTTTTCTGCATTGTATTCGTATAAGTAAGCAATTTAATGATTATATATACTGTAAAATAATTTAATTAACAAATTTCTAATTTTTTTTATAATTTTTAATGTATATATTAGAGGAATATATATTAATCTCTACATATACTAACATTATTTATGAATTCGCTTTTGGTCATCACTTAATTGAAAAAAATAATAATTAATTAAAACTAATACTTATTATTAATAATTTAGGTTATTTCTTTAACAAATATTATTAACTAATTAAAATTATAATGAAATAGAAAATACTGTCTGAGATGGTCCTTTCTAGGTCCTAAAATGGACCCATAAACTGGTCCTAACTAGGCTCCCAAGTTAGGACCAGGCTAGAATCGCATCACCACCCATTGTTGGTCCAACCTACACTGCCAACCTAGGACCAAGCTATTAACAGGGCAAAATAGGTAGGACCTGGCTAGGACCAATTTTCATTTTCCACACGGGATACAAATGAATTTTAATTTTATTAAAATGACGCATTAATTTTAATCAATTCTTTCTTTTCATAATATAATTTTTGTAATAAAATCAATAAAGTACAGAAATTACTGTTTGATAATATTTAATGGATATTTTTCTCTACAATAGGGGATTTAATTAGTTGTTGCATAATATCTGAATAAGGATCGATTGAAATGTGAATTAGTCTCGCTGTATAGTCTTGAGCTTAAGGAATTGACGAGGGGGGGGGGAGGGGAGTTTCAATCATCAAACCGGATATATTTCAACCCGGGTTGTTTATCGTGATACTCGACTCGAATTATAATCCGTCCCCTAACGACGACAAGTCCATTCCGTATACTGCAATTAAGTGTAGAACCACCGAAAAAGAATTCAACATCAAAAAATACGTGATACCAATACTTGTTTATCAAAACTTTGTATTTTACTTTATATTTTTAGAAACAATTATTATTCATTATAATCTTCTTATTCATATTTTCAAGAATTTTTAACTAAAATTCTTTTTTAAATCAATTATATTTAATAATTCTCGAAAATTATTGAAATTCGGGAGAAGAATCTTATTTGTTTCTAAAAATAATTGAATAAATTTTGAGGAAAATTTTTTCAATTTTTAAACATAATTGAATTACAGTGAAACCTATGTCGGATTTCAATTTTAATCACTATAATAATTACCATAAATAATAATAACAACAGCATAATAAAAATAAAAATAAATCTTTAAATTTACCACACGGTCAACTTGATTAAAATATAAATACTTTGTAAAATAAAAATATCTCAAATGAATAAATATCAAAATATAAATTAATAATAAAATGAAAAGAAACGTAGAAAAAAAAATGTAATTTGATAAAATCATTAAAATGACGAGTGGAGTACTTGAAACATAATGTGCGACACGCAAAGACAGAAAGCAAAAGTGTATAGTGCGTGAGAAAAAAAAATTACATTTATATATATGTCATTTCAGTCAATGTTTTCTATAGGGAAATTATGTTACAAATCAACGATCCAAATCGTCAATATAATTATCGTATAATGATTATTTTCTTCCGTGCGCATATTTTATTAATATAATCAATAGAATATTATTAGTGAATCCTGTAGAATTTAATTATTTTACAAAACAAGCGTAATAACAATGAATATCAATGAGAATAAAAGGAAATTTTTGATTGATGAAATATTTTACATCCGTTTATTCATATATTGTGAATGTACATTTTAAGAGGCCTGAGGCGTTCTTTTTATTATTTATTATATTTATTAGATACTTTAATACTTTTTTTTTTTATTACTTTTTTTTATTTTTTTTTTTTTATTTATTTATTTATTTTTTTTTTTAATAAAATTTTAAAAGAATTGAATTATTTTCAAAAATTTTAATTAAATACAGAAAAAATAAAAATAATACAAAAAGTTCAATAAAATACCTTTAAAAATTCAATTATAATTATATTCAAGAATTATAATAAAATTCTCAGAACAGTCAGTTACTGACAAACATTTAAATAAAATTTTTTAAAAATTCAATTATTTTCAAGGGTTATAAAATACTTGGAAAATTCAATTACTGACAGAAATGTGTATAAAATTCTTTAAAATTTCAATAAAACTTCAAAATTTTTTTAATTATTTTCAAATATTGTAATAAAATTCATAAAAAATCCAATTATTTTCAAAAAAATTCAATTAAATTCTACAAAAATTCAATTTCATTCAAAAACTTCAATAAAATTTTTAAAAGTTTCACTTATTTTCAAGTTATTCAACTATTTTTATAAATTTTCAAGTATTTTCAAATATTTTAAGAAAATTTCTGAAACATTCAATTATTGAAAAATATTTTAATAAAATTTGAAAAAAAACTATTATTTTTAAAAATAAAGCAAAATTCTTAAACAATTCAATATACTGACAAAAATTTTCAATTATTTTTAAATATTTTAAATGAAATTCCTAAAAAATTGAATTATTTTTTAAAAAGACAAGAAAATTTAATTATTGACAACATTTTTAACAAAATTCTTAAAATTTATAATTTTTTTCAAAAATAATTAAATTATAAAAAAATTTAATTATGTTCAATTGTTCAAAAAAATTTCAATAAAAACCTTTAGAAATTCAACAATTTTTAAAAAGTTTTAAAAAATCTCCTAGTTTCAAGTATATATTCAAAATTTCATAAAATTTTCAATTATTTTCAAAAGATTCAATTAAATTCTACAAAAATTCAATTTCATTAAAAAACATCAATAAAATTCCAATTATTTTCAAGTTATTCAACTATTTTAAAAAATTTTAATAAAATTTCTAAAAAATCCAATTATTAAAAAGTAAAAACTATATTTTAATAAAATTTTTAAAAAAACTATTATTTTCAAAAATAAAAAAAAAATTCACTACTGACAAAAATTTTATTAAAGTCCTTTAAAAATGCAATTATTCTAAAAAATTTTAATGAAATTCCGAGAAAATTCAATTATTGACTAAAATTTCAATAAAATTCTTAAAATTTAAATAAAAAATTTAATTATTGACAAAAATTTCAATAAAATTCTTAAAATTTAAAAAGGAAAATTTAATAAAATTTCCAAAAATTCAATTATTGACAAAAATTTCAATAAAACTTAACATTTAAAAAAAAAATTTAATTAAATTCGTTTCTGTTTATTTACTGTATATTTTCTAGTTTGTTTATTTATATAATTTAAATGTATATTTATATTACATTTTTAAAGTTTATTTACAGTTTATTTATTATATTTTCTATTATAATAAATAAAAAAATCTCTTATAAGAAAAAAAAGTAATTTTTATTTTTACCACATGACATGAAATCAGTCATTTTTAACTCGAAAGTCAAGAATATTGTCAAAGAAAACAAGAAATGAAGCACGAAACAAGAATCACACCTTCAATGAATAAATTTCCATAAACAGGTGCGAAACTAACAATAAAGAATCAGAATCAAATATTATACAACATTGAATTCGAAAACAAAAGTATAGCGCGATAAATGAATAAGAATTATATTGTTGTAGCATTAAATTTGCTATTTCTGAAGATATTCATTGCATGTAAATAGGAGGACGAGATAT